TCATGAGAATCAAAACTACTTATTAAAAATACCTTTACAGTGGAGCCTGGAATGGAGAACCTTCAAATGAACTTGAAATTATCTTTTCCCTTCTTAGCACTAAACAACAAAGATGACCACAGCAGTTGGTAGACCAACTACTGAAGTCTGAGCTCTCTGTAGTAGTCAGGGTTACAGACCACTGATGTCAACATTCTAAGGCTCATGCCATAATTGACAAAGTGACATATTCATTTCCTTTCACATTTTGGCTTTGAAAAATTATTTTTGAACAACTGTTGAACTACAAGTGTTTGTAAGGAACAACAGATTTTTCACAAGCACAGATTGATAGGTAGATTGAGAGAAATAGATATGATAGATAGATAGATAGATAGATAGATAGATAGATAGATAGATAGATAGATAGATGATAGATAGATATAGATAGAACATAGAGAGAGAGAATAGATCCTGATGCCATTAGTCTATCATGAGAATCAAAACTATTTATTAAAAATACCTTTACAGTGGAGCCTGGAATGGAGAACCTTCCATTGAATGTGAAGTTATCTTTTCCCTTCTTGGCACTAAACACCAAAGATGGCCACAGCAGTTGGTAGACCAACTACTGAAGTCTGAGCTCTCTATAGTAGTCAGGGTGACAGGCCACTGATGTCAACATTCTAAGGCTCATGCCATAACTGACAAAGTAACATATTCATTTCCTTCCATCCTTTGGCTTTGAAAAAATATTTTTGAACAACTATTGAACTACAAGTGTTTGTAGGGAAGAACAGATTTTCACAAGCATAGATTGATAGATAGAAATAGATATGATAGAGATATAGATTGATTGATTGATCAATACATAGTTGACAGACATAAATATAGATGATAGATGATGATGATGATAGATAGATAGATATAGATAGATAGATAGATAGATAGATAGATAGATAGATAGATAGATAGATAGATAGATGATAGATAGATATACAGACAGAACTGACATATTTATAGATAGATAGATAGATAGATAGATAGATAGATAGATAGATAGATAGATAGATAGATAGATATAGATACATAGATAGATACATAGATAGATGATACATAGATACATAAATAGATACATAGATAGATACATAGATAGATACATAGATAGATAGATAGATAGATAGATAGATAGATAGATAGATAGATAGATAGATACATAGATAGATAGATAGATAGATAGATAGATAGATAGATAGATAGATAGATGACACACAGAGAGAGAAAATAGATCCTGATGCAATTAGTCTATCATGAGAATCAAAACTACTTATAAAAAATACCTTTACAGTGGAGCCTGGAATGGAGAACTTTTCAATGAGTATGAAATTATCTTTTCCCTTCTTGGCACTAAACACCAAAGATGGCCACAGCAGTTGGTAGACCAACTACTAAAGTCTGAGCTCTCTGTAGTAGTCAGGGTTACAAACCACTGATGTCAACATTCTAAGGCTCATGCCATAACTGACAAAGTGACATATTCATTTCCTTTCATATTCTGGCTTTGAAAAATTATTTTTGAACAACTGTTGAACCACAAGTGTTTGTAAGGAACAACAGATTTTTCACAAGCATAGATTGATAGGTAGATTGATAGAAATAGATATGATAGAGATACAGATTGATCGATCGATCAATCGATAGTTGAAAGACAGACATAAATATAGATAGATAGATAGATAGATAGATAGATAGATAGATAGATAGATAGTTGACAGACATATAGATAGATAGATAGGTAGATAGATAGATAGATAGATAGATAGATAGATAGATAGATAGATAGATAGATAGATAGGATATATGGGTAGGTAGATAGAGATGACAGAGAGAGACAGAGAGAGAGATAGAATAGATCTTGATGCCATTAGTCTATCATGAGAATCAAAACTACTTATTAAAAATACCTTTACAGTGGAGCCTGGAGTGGAGAACTTTTCAATGAATGTGAAATTATCTTTTCCCTTTTTGGCACTTAACACCAAAGATGGCCACAGCAGTTGGTAGACCAACTACTGAAGTGTGAGCTCTCTGTAGTAGTCAGGGTGACAGACCACTGATGTCAACATTCTAAGGCTCATGCCATAACTGACAAAGTGACATATTCATTCCCTTCCATCTTTTGGCTTTGAAAAATTATCTTTGAACAACTGTTGAACTACAAGTGTTTGTAAGGAATAACAGATTTTCACAACCTTACTTTGACAGGTAGATTAATACACAGAAATAGATAAAGAGTTGACAGGCAGACATATTTATTTATACATACATACATACATACATACATACATACCTAGGTAGATAGATAGATGATAGAATTGACAGACAGACATAACTATAGATAAATACATAGATAGATACATAGGTATATAGATAGATACATAGAGTTGACAGATAGGCATAAATATGGATATATAGTTAGATAGATGATAGATGATAGATAGATAGATAGATAGATAGATAGATAGATAGATAGATAGATAGATAGATAGCCAGCCAGACTGAGTGTCTCTGTGTAAGGATCCCAAGTCAGACTTTTACAGATATTATTCAAGGACAAAAGTGCAGATATCTGGTTTGTTGAATCAAAGTCTTTGGGGCACAAAAATGACCTAAATTGCTCTCAGTTCCCCTGCCAGGTCCAGTTGATAACATGTGGACTTGCAACTGGTGGAATTCTCTAAGCAATTAACACTTTGCACATACTTCTAACCTCAATTTATGGTACAAGATTTTAAGCTTAGCTAACTAACTGTTTATGTTTACATCCTGGATTTTATGTGGAGAGAAGGCAATTAAACAGTTAAACAATTAACCCAAGTCCTGAGGGAATCAGCTTTACACCCAGTTCCCACGGGAGAGGCTCCGCAAATGGTCAGAACTGCAGGGAATGATCTGGTCCCATAGACTTGAATTTAAAAGTTCCAACTTTCCCCTCTTGTGCTCTGGGCTGTATTCAGGATGAGAAAAGGTGTAGACTTGGGTTGTTTTTTAGCGCCAGCCAGCTTTTGTCGAAAGTGCTGATAAGACTTGGCACTGTTCACTTCCCCTCTTGCTTTGTGCAGGTTGCCATGGTTACTCATAGTTTGCTGTGGGGAAAACTTTCAGCCATGGCTGCACTTCCCAGGCACTTTTATGTTGTGCTGATCACAAAATGTTAGCCTATAATGTCAATTTCTCCCAAGAAATGTAGGTTAGTGCACAGCTCCTTTACTCCTTCCTTGATTCCCTGTGGTTCAGCCTTTCTCCTTTGTAACCCTTGTAGATGTCCCTTTAAGAGATAATGTTACAAACCAGAATCCTATAACCACAGCTGCAGCTGCCCCTTGTCACTTACAAGGGAACACTGTTGTGACCCTGAGAAGAAGCTTCTGTAACCTTCTTTATCGCCAGAGTTTGCTGTTGTATGTGGACATAAGCTATGGAAAGTTGAAGCCAGAGCAGAAGAATAAGAGAGCATGGCAAACAGTTCGTGTGTGAATTTATTACAGATAAGAAATTTCCCCAGTCCCCTCTACTCTGAAAACCATTCTTTTCTGCTACCCTGCATGCAGACCTGACAGCTGGTCTTTCAAGCTGCAGTGGCCTCTGAACTTTTGACAGGTTCAGGTCAGATGGTATTACTACTTAATGTCTCAATTTCTTTTCTTCTGTCCCCCAATTTGAGCTAATCATGTTTTGATCAACTACAAAGCTGGTGTCATGATAAAAATCTCTTAACATCTTTAAATGCCTTAGGCATAGTAGAACTGGCTGGGAAAAAAGTGGCACACAGGAAGTGGGGAGGGGTGTCCCACCAGCTGAAATGAAGTGTGTCTCACCAAGTTCTCTTCCATCAGGACGGCAGTTTTCTTCCTAAATGTTTATAAGGAAATAGATTACACATGTATTTCACTTATGAAGGGAAAACACATTAAGCTCTACTAATTTAAATGAATTGAAAGACTATGCCTTGAAGCATGGCATTTTTATCAAAAGCCCTTTCCTCACCAGGAATCTCCTGTCATACTGCCGTGGTTCCACCCTCTAAGGTTTTAACCGTATTTATAAAAAGGCCTTACAGCAGCAACCAGCCTTCCTCGGTCCTCTTAACTGTGCCCTAGTCAAGAGGACCGGAGTCCAGGGCCCTTGACACACTTAGCAGAGGATGAACTTGGGTGTCACTCATGTGACTCTAGTTCTGAAGCCGGCAATGCAGCATCTGAAGTCATGGCACGCGCCACACCCGTGCTTCTGTGAGCGCAACCACTCACTTGACCCCGGCCGTCATCCTCCCGTCCGCGCCGCGCCTGCGCAGCCCGCCGCGCCTGCGCCCTTCCCTCTGCAGGCGTTGCTCCAGCCCCAGAGACCTGGATGAGTCCTGGGTTCGAGAAGCACCTCCTCTCGTGGAGGCTGCCGTGTTCCCGGGTGGGCGGCGTGAACACCAGCTCCGGCGAGCCCGAGCGACCCTCCAGCCCCTGCCCAGGACCAGGCCTGTTGGGGACGGCGGGGTCGGTAGGGCTGACAACCGCCTGTGTCGCCAGCCTCCGGGGTCCCCCACGGGCCTGTGCGCACGTGCACACACACATACACATGCGCGGGAAATAAACGGGGAGACGGGAACAGTCCCTGGCTCCGGGCATCACTAGATAGCATGGGTGTGAGGCTGGTGGCGCTGTCAGTTCTCAGATGCCCAGGGCGGCACTCGGGGACCTGCCCTCAGATCCTTTGTGGACCCACAGGTGCTGCGGGTGGCATCGGGTACCTGCCCTGGCGCTGAGGGCGGCGGCAATGGGCCAGCAAGGCCTCTTGTGTAGGGCTGGGCGAATCCAGGTTCGCCAGGATGCAGCTGGTGGTGCAAGGCATGGCACTGTCTGCCGCCATGCCCGCAAACATTAAGGTATCAGCACAATAATATTAATATTATATAATATCAGCACAGCAAATATTAAAAGAGGTCAATGTAACCTGCGTTCCACGTCTGCCTTTAGGTTCCTGTCGCTGCATTTATAACTGCTACACAAATGCCACCATGTCACCAGCATGAAGAAGAGAAATTCTTCCTCAACGCCAAAGGCCAGATGGAAACTTTACCCAGCATCTGGGACTCACCCACGGGCCCCCACGGGCCTGTGCACACGTGCACACACACACACACACATACACACACATACACACACGCGAAATAAACTGGGAGACGGGAACAGTCCCTGGCTCCAGACATCATTAAACAGCATGTCTGTTGTCGTGCCTTGAACTTCTGCTTGAGTTCCTTCCCTAGTTGGTAATTAGGGAAGAAAAGGAATCATGCACTGTTTGCCCTCATTGAGAGGAGTGCATGGTTGGCAGCTGGGATTGGGAAGAGGGAAAGTGAGATGGCAGGATTGAGGCTTTCTAGAGAAGTCCTAGGATGAGAACAAGGGGCATTCTGGGTGGCCTGAGTGACATCCCAGAGGGTCTTGGTAGATGACAGGCACACCTTCCCTGTGTGAATGGAGTATGCTGGGCTAGCTAACTCGTTTTCAAAAGCAATCTCTAACATATTTTTTCCCTTTGGTGCCTGTGATGGTGGATGAAGCCCTGAACTACCTAGAAAAGAGACAGGTATCACACTTCTCTTTCAATGTCACACCTCCAGTTAAAACTAAAGCAGGTCACCAATTGTAGACCCGAAGCTAGGAGCACTGTGCTACCTCCAGAGGCAGACAAACCAGGAAGCTGGCATTTCTCTCAAGTCCCCTCCCCCACCTCCTAATTCTTGCCTGGTCATATATTATAAATTGTGTGCCAGTGAATGTGTGCAGGCTCACTTCTGTGATGTCTTTAAAAAGAGGTGTATGTACGTGCATATATTCATGGATAGAGATCCACTGAAGTCTTTATAACATAGTCTGTAGAACTTTGCTTTCAAATGAAATCACATCTATTAAGTGATATAAAGTTATAGCCTTAAAATTTTTAATTATAAACTAATCACGCAAAAATAAAATATTTAAGTACAACCTTCCCTCAGAAACAATCCCAATATTGGGCTTAGTTACATCTAAACATGAACACAGGCACTCAAACATCCTAGGCAGGGATGCTACAGGGGCTGTATATCCAGCCCTAACAGATGTCTATTTTTTAAATGCTTGCACTTTTTATATTTAGAAGCACAGCAACTAATATCTCTCTTTGGAGTTGTCTTGCCATAGTTAAAGATGGAGTGAGCTTTATACCTCATCTCTTTCTGTCTCTGTCTTGGACATTCCTTACATTGCTTTGCTTTGCTTTGGGTTCTAAAACAGATTTCTTGACTTTTCAGGACTATTGCAGACTTGAACTTGTATAAGATAAAGCAGAATTGAACTGGGCTCCTCCTGTAAGGCTGAGGATTAGTGCACACATTGAATCTCCCTCTGCCCTAGACCTCAGGGACTTCTTTCTCATACATGGCTCTCCTTTCCAGTCTGCCTTAGCATCACAGATGCGTGCTGACTCAACTCGTGAGTTATGGGGCAGATGTCTACCCATCATCTGTCCTGTTCCTTCTGAGCCTTTTGTATTTCATGTGGTTTGTTACTACTGCCTGTATTTGTCCCTAGCAACACTAGAACACCTGTTGCTTAAATTATAACTTCCTTAGGGCTGAGAAGATGTCTTAGCAGGTGAAGGTGCTTGCTGTCCAAGATGGATGACCTGTGTTCATCCTGAGACCCCACAGTGGAAGGAGAGAACCGACTCCTGCAAGTTGTCCTCTGACCTCCATGCATATGCAAGCCCATGTGTGTGAGTGTACACACACACACACACACACACACACACACACACACACACACTATTAAAAATAAATTGGAGAGAAAAATGTTTTTTAAACTACAGTTTTACAGGCTGGCAAGGTGGCTCACTGGGTAAAGACCCCTGCTGTCAAGCCTGACCATCTGAGTCTGATCCCTGTGAGTCACATGGTAGGAGAGAGCCGACCCCCACAAGTTGTCCTCTGACCTCATATGTGCACCATGATCATCCCCCCACATACACATGTGTTCATACACACAAACATTAAAGACAATTTGAGAATACTGTTATATCTT